TTAATTGTTCAGTGTGTCGGTTGTAAATGCTTCTGACAGCCATTTTGTAAATTATTTATAGGATATTTAATAGTGCCGCAGGTATTTTTTATATTTTTTTCTTCCATTGTGTAACCGTATGGTGGCTAGATGTGATTTGAATGGGGTAATTAAGGATTTTTGAATAATGTTCCGTAATTTGATTAATAAGGGTACAGGAGAGGAAAGGGTTGAGAAAATGTTCAAATTTGGATGGAAGATTTATGTTTTTAAGAAATCCTTGAATAGTTTGTTATTCATCATTATCTTCGACGTTCAATCAATTTGTATTATTGCTTTCGCGTAGTATCTCTTTCTATTTTGGTTACAATTTATTATGTGTAGGGTGATTTCGTTATATTTCTGTCTCAACTCCTTTCTTCTTCTTCTTTACGTGACATGACGAAGGTTGGCAATCATCACAGCTATTCTAACTTTTGATACGACAGCCCAAAGAGTTCAGTTGAGCAGCATCCAAACCATTTTCTGAAGTTTCTCAGCCAGACATTCTTCTTCTACTTACGATACGCTTTCATTGAATCTTTCTCTGCATTATTAGTTTAAGGAATTCGTATCTGTCTCCACGTGTTATATGACCCAGATATTGTAGTTTTCTTATTTTGAATGGAATCCAGTATCTACCTGCTATTCTCTGTTCTTCTTAGTACTTCTTTATTGGTTATTCTGTCTGTATAGAAGATTCTCTTTGATATGTTCACATTTCAAATGCTTACAATTTATTGAGACATTGTTTATTTAAAGTCCATGTCTCTACACCATACAAAAGAACAGAAAATATATAACACTTTAGTACTCGTTTTCTAAGATTAAGGCTGAAGTCTTTGCAACATAATCTTCTTCTTCTTCTGGTTCCTATCCGTTTCGGATGTTGGAAATCATATTGGCAATCATAACCTTGCTCGCTGCGGCTCGAAACAGCTCCGTTGAGGTTTTCTTAAACAATGTTCTTAAATTTCGCAGCCATGATATTCTCCTTCTACGGGTCCTCGCTTACCTTTGACTTTACCTTGCAATATAGACTGCAGCAGCGAGTAACGGTGCTCATTTCTCATAACGTGTCCCAGATATTGCAATTCTGGTTCCTTCTTCATTTTTCCTAGAACTTCCTTGTTCGTGATCCTTGCTGGATCACTAAGTTTTTTAATAGTGGTGTCTGTAAGCGTCCATGCCTCAGCCCCTTACAACAACACAGAGAAAACATAGCATCTCAAATGTCTCATTTTTGTATCAAGGGATATGTTGTGACTTTTGAAGATGGCGCTCATTTTGTTAAGGACCGTTCTTGCCTTTCCTATGCGGCACTTTATTTCCTGTAAATTGCTCCACTGTACGTTAATAATAGTTCCCAGGTAGCAATACTGTTTTACTCGCTCTATCTGCGTCCCATTAATGTATAGATGAGCCCCGTTTATATTCTCCTTGCTAATAATCATTTGTTCGTTTTGTGGGTATTAATGTTTAGTCCGTACTGTTGACTGTACTCGTTTATTCTGTCCATTAGCCTCTGAAGTCCCTCTAAACTATCTGCTATCACCATGGTGTCGTCGGCATATCTAACATTGTTTACTCTTTCACCATTTAGAAGGATGCCTTCGTCTATTCCGTAAAAAGCCTCGTTAAAATTTTTCTCTGAGTACATATTAAATATCAACGGCGATAGGATACATCCCTGTCTAACTCCACGCAGTAATTTTATGTGACCTGTAAACATAATAATTGTTTCATATTATTGAATACACTTCTAGCCTTTTCTATTCCAACGCTAATTTCTTTGGTAAAATCGTTTGTTTCATTAATGTTTACCCCTAAATAGTTATAATTCTGAACTCGTTCTATCATCTTATTATCATGTAGATTGATGTATCTTATATTTTTCTTTGACATAAACATGAATTTTGTTTTCTTTGTTTAGTGACAGACCAAATTCTTCACTCGCAGCAACAATCTTATCTAAAATTCTTTCTATCTAAAATTCTTTGTAGATCTGTAATATTGTCTGAGAACCAGGAATATGGAAACATATATATTATAATATAATATATGTTTCCATATTCCTGGTTCCCAGACAATATTATGTGAACCAGGGAGGCACTTTTTGCGCTTAACATCCTATTAGCCATGTTCATAGCCAACGTTCGCAACGGACAGGGCACTTAAAGAAGAAGAAGTTTATGTATTTGTCTATGTAGAGTTTCTCCTTCGTCTTTAAGGAAATCAGGCAGTATATTGTCAGAGCCTGGAGCTTTTCCGTTCTTCAATTTGTTAATTGCTTGCAACTATTTTGGGGTCCTCTACCGGTGGGTCCACCCCAAAATATATATTTTCTCCATGGTCTTCCTCTTGATGTATTTTTAGTAAAATCTTGAAATATTCTTGCTATGTTTGGCGCAGTTATTTTTCATTTATTATTAATTCATCATTTTTTCTGAGTACAGACACACAACTAGGTCTGGAGCCTTTCTTTTCGTTTGACACTGATTTGTAAAATGCTCGACTACTTGACTCTTGTCTATTACTTTCCATTTCTTCATATTTCTGTTGTTTGTACTTCCTTTTTTGCTTTCTAATTAATTTTCTTGTTACTCGGCGGTGAAGTTGCAAAAAAAAGAATGGATGACAGATGAGATACTGAACTTAATGGATGAAAGAAGAAAACAGAAAAACAAAAAGAACCAGAAGTATAAAAATACGCGCAGCTAAAGAAAACTGGTACGGAGAAAAATGTGAAGAAATCGAACAACTACAAAATAAACATGACAGCTTTAATGCACATCGGAAGATCAAAGAGTTGACGAGAAGACAAAGTAACAGACACAACATATTAGTAGACGAGAGTGGAAACATTATTATGGACACAGAAGAAAAATTAAGAGTCTGGAAACAGTACATAGAACAACTGTTTAAAGATCAAAGAGACAATGTAGATAACGAATACATAAACAGTGACACAGGACCAGAAATAATAAGAGGTGGAGTGGAATACACGATTAAAGAAATGAGGTCGGGGAAGGCTACAGGCCCAGATGAACTACCAATAGACATAATTAAACTCATCAAAGGCAACTTAATAAAGATCGTGGAACTATTTAACAGCATTTACAAATCTGGTATCATACCTAATGAATGGCTAGTAACAACAATAATAGCCATACCCAAAAAGTCTAATGCGAGACAATGCTCGGAACATCGCACCATCAGTCTCATGTGTCATATATTAAAGGTCTTCTTAAAAGTCATTAATCGGAGAATATATAAAAAATTGGAAGTTGACATCGGACCCTCTCAATTTGGCTTTAGAGACGGACTAGGAGGCACTGTTTGCTTTTAATGTTCTAACACAACGATGCTTAGACGTAAATCAGGACATATTTGTGTGTTTCCTAGACTATAAGGGAGAGCGCCCACCAAAGTGGCGTGGCAGTGGCAAGTAGCAAGTAGCACGCGTCTAGCATAATGTAACCAATCTTAACGAATGATTAGAATGAATGACGTTACTGTCATTTTGGTGTAAACTGAATCATTCGTTTTCATTGGTTACATTATGCTAGACGCGTGCTACTTGCTACTTGCCACTGCCACGCCACTTTGGTGGGCGCTCTCACACAAAGCATTTGATACAGTAAAACATAGGCCACTAATGCAAATACTGGAAAATAAAAATATTGATACAAGGGACATGCGGAGTGATAAGGAATCTATACTACAAACAAGAAGGTACAGTACGAATTAACAGCTCGATATCAGATAGAATACAGATCAAAAGAGGTGTTCGGCATGGCTGTGTGTTGTCTCCAACCTTGTTCAATGTCTACGCGGAAGAAGTTATTAAAAAAGCTCTTATGAACGAAAAAGTCGGAGTAAAGATCAATGGTCACCCCATTTGCAATATCCGATATGCTGATGATACCGCGCTCATAGCAGAAAATATTGACGACCTACAGAGATTACTAAACAAAGTGGTAGAAGCAAGTGCAGAATTTGGTCTGTCACTGAATACAAAGAAGACCAAATTCATGATAATTACAAAGAAACGTATCAATAATATCAACTTACATGTAGGACATAATCTCATTGAACGAGTACAAAATTACAATTACCTCGGAACAAATATTAACGAGTCAAACGAATACACCAGAGAAATAAGAATAAGAATAGAGCCCGCAGTGCCTTTAACAATATGAAACAAATGTTGTGTAGTCGAAACCTAAGCCTAAAGCAGAAAATACGAATGCTTAAATGTTATGTTTTCTCGGTCCTGTTATATGGGGTGGAGGCGTGGACACTAAATAAGCAATGTATGGGTAAGCTGGAGGCATTTGAGATGTGGGCGTACCGAATAATATTAAAAATCTCCTGGAAGAATAAGATAACTAACCAAGTTGTATTAGACAGGATGAACAAACAAAAGGAGGTCATATTGAGTGTTAAAATGAGGAAACTACAATACCTGGGACATATTACACGTGGGAATAAATATCAACTGTTACAACTAATTATGCAAGGAAAGATTGAAGGTAGGCGCAGCATAGGTAGGAGAAGAATGTCATGGTTGAGAAACCTCAGGGAGTGGTTTGCTTGCACTTCCATACAATTGTTCCGAGCGGCAGCCTCCAGGGTCAAAATTGCCATGATGATAGCCAACCTTCGTAGCGGAGATGGCACGTGAAGAAGAAGAAGAAGTTGCATTGTTTTCTTTACTTTCTGATGTTCCTTGTTGAAGCATAGTGTTTCGCTTTATCTGTCTGTCGTGTATTTGTAATCTTCTTTAACTACCTACTAATTTAAAAAAAATACTGGTTCGAATTTATCCTAGGTCAACTAGATAAAAATCTCTATTTTCTTTTTAAATATCGTCATTGTATTATTTATTGACACTAAAAATGTTTTACCTCATATTCAAATCGCGAATATAAATATCGATAGGATATCAACTATCACGATTCACGACTTTTCATTAAAACTAAGCCATTACGCACAAAATGTCCTACAATAAAATGTGTAAATAAAAAATTTAATAACCGTATAGTTATTACTTGTAGTAATACTTGTTTAATATGAATAGTATAGTACAGTCTTATAGTACGATTAGATTACTATAAGAACTATTTCATTCAATCGGCGAAGCAACTGTTTATGCTTAATTCAATATGAAGTATTCTTTGGCATTATTTGTCTTATTGGCAGGTAAGTTCAAGCATTTTTATAATCCAAATACAATATTTTTCCAGTTATTTTCCTTAATATATATCTATATATCTCTGTACCTCGGAAGAATACAACACTATGTCCATTTTCCTAACTTTGCAGGAGAGCAGTTTTAAACTTTTTTTTTCACCAAAAAGTGTTATTGCTGCAGCTATTTCTTGAGATATTAAAACAATATTTCAAGAGAACATTCTATCTATTGTTATTTACATAATGCATTTCTTATAAATAAAAAACAATTTTTTTTCTGTGTTTTTTAACCGTATTAATAACAGTGTCCACCTCCATGTGGGTGTGATCCTTTAGTAGAAATTTCTGAATGGTGATGATTCATTAAATAATAATCCACCTATTTCATTTAAATAAGTCAATTTACAGCAGGTAATTGGTTACTTACTTGACCAATTACTTCCTGATATCGTCTATAATGCTTTCTATATGTTTTGTTGTCAACTAATTAAATCGAAGTCTGTGATTCATTGCAAGTATTTAGTTAAAGAATATTTTGAAGGTTGGGCGTTTAAAATTACTGCTTTTTGTGATTCGTTGATAACGAACCTATCTTTAAAATGTATAAACTAGGTAAAAAAGGAAAATAGAAACAGTTGTTTTGTATTGTTTGGTTATTCAATGCTTTTCAGATAAAACTATCCACCTTAAATAACTTTTGAACCTCTAATTTTTTGGAACTACGCAAAAACACTTTAATTAATATCTGAAGGGGGAGGCATAATATCATATTGAAGGTTGCTGGAAAATGCACCCTCTCACCCCTGTATCAACCCTATATTTTTTTTAAATTACTTCCCCCTTTTTTTATTTTATATTTGGATTCTCCTTTTTGTACTGATTTCAGAACTGTATAATACATGATACTTGAAGTGATTAGTTTATGAGAAAAATAAATACAAAAGCAAGAAAATTGGATTAAAAAAAAATAATTTTTTAACAATTTTATTACACACATTTAGAACAATCATTTCACTACTAAAAATGTTTACAATAATTGTTCAAAATGACTGCCTTTCACTTCCATACAATAGTACAATCTATTTTGACATTCTTCTCTGACATTGCTTAACACGTCTTAATTATGTTTAATTGTCGACATTCATCCTCTATTCTTTGTTGTAAATCATCTAGATATTCTGGTTGAGTAGCATAATTTTTGTTTTTAAATACTCCCATAAGAAGAAGTCTAGGGGTGTTCAATCCGGTGATCTAGGTGGCCAATCGATCATCTCTCGTCTTTTACATATCCAAAGACCGGGAAACGTTTCGTTTAAAAATTATCGCACAGGTAAAGCAAAGTGTGGAGAAGCTCCATCATGTTGAAATACAACCAAATCATCGGAAAGTTTATGATCATTTGCTACTATTGTTCTAACGATCAATCATTTGCCTATATAATTCAAGATACGATGCACCATTTAAGTTTCCAGTGATAAAGAAGGGTCCGATAATGTGATTACGTAGGATACCACACCATACGTTTTACCTTTGAGGATGCTGTGTGTGAAATTCACGTACAATATGTGGATCACTCTCAGCCCAGTATCGGCAATTTTATCTGTTCACCAAACCGTTTAATGAGAATGAGCATTCATCCGAGAAGCAAATATTGTTTAACAATTGTGGATTGTTAATGATGCATTTTATCATTAATTCGCAACATTCGGGACGACGATCAAAATCTTCTTCATTTAACTCTTATACTAATTTAATTTTATATGGATAAAACTTAAATTTATGGAGGACTCGGAAGGCTGTAGAAGATGAAACACCGATTGCTCTGCTTATTGTTTTGGCTACTTGGATTGCTTTTTTATTTACAAGTTCCTGTCGGTTATGTTTTTTATTGCAAACTGACCCTCTATCTAATTTTTTCTGCATCAGTTCAATCACACACTTATGAGTTGCATGTCTATTGTGGTGTGTTTCATTAAAAATTCTAGCAGCAGCTCTTGCACAATTATTATTTTTGTAGTATAAACCTACAATTTCGATTCTTTCTTGCAAAGTGTCCACCATTTCAGCGATCAAATTGCACACGTATCAAAATAAGCTGTTACTTACAAGTTATAACAAATTGTCGCTATTAACCGATTAAAACAAATGTAAACATGATATCGAAAACCTTTGATAAAACTTGAATAAAAAGTGAATTTTTTTGTTTCTTGGTTTTTAAATAGTACGGTTAAATATTTAAAGAGTTTAAATTATGCTACAACCTATTTTGTTAGAGTCAATTAAGGTGAGGGAGATACTGTCTTGTTAACAGGAAATTTGTCTATCTGATAAACTAATCACTTCAAGCCAAAGGTATTATACATTTTTGAAATCAGAACGAAAAGGAGAATCCAAATATAAAACAAAAAAAGGGGGAAGTAATTTAAAAAAATAAAGGGTTGATACAGGGGGTAAGAGGGTGTATTTTCCAGCAACCTTTAATATGATATTATGTCTCCCCCTTCAGATATTAATTGACGTGTTTTTGCGTTTTTCCAAAAAATTAGAGGTTCAAAAGTTATTTAAAGTGGATAGTTTTATCTGAAAAGCACTGTATTTTCTAGTATAATGTGAGTTACGTTAATAGGATTTTTCTTTGTGTTGTATATAATTTTGTTTTTATTAATTTCGTTACAAATATTTAGCAGAGATTTACTTTGATAGCTATACATGGAAGTTACATCTTTGGATGTATGCTTTTTTTAGTTGAGGAACAATGACATCACCTTTGCTCTTATATCTAATATCAATCTTCATAAATTCTTTATCAATGTATGAGTTTTTATTAAAAAACAGTAAAAGTTTCAGCTTTAGTAACTTTGACCATACAAACTTCATTCTACATGACTTTTTATGATCTATGTTTGTTGTAAAATTCTTGCCTAACTCTGCTTGTAGAAGTTTTAGATCATAGAAACGGTCGAATTGTTGTTCATGAACTTTGTAAGGATTTCCTTTATTTTTCGCTAGTTATATTATAGGAATTAACTGGGCAGGGTATACAGGGGCGCACTTTTAAGGCATCTCTTCTTTTCCTTTTCCATTAAAGCATGCTTTGCATCACCTTCATTTTGTCTGTGACCCACAACCAAGAAATTAAGAGTTATTTCTTCAATTGTATTTATTGTTAAAACGCTGGATAGTTTCATGGTGCTGAAGATAATGTAACAAATAGCTGACGATTTCGTTAGCTCCTTTTTTCCTTGGATTTTATGCCGTACATAAGAATAACCTTGTTTCTCACGAATTGTGTGGATAGTGAAATTGTAACTAGACATTAGAGCCTGTAAATCAAAACACGCAACTTCAACACTGGAATCAAGAACGTCGAGCTGTTTTTCTTTTTCTTTGATGTGCATCTTAGGAATACTGATTTTCTTTTAATACTTTTTTTGTGATGTTGGGATTTTGTACAATTTGCATGATCTTTTTTGGAGTAAAGAATCGAATATTCAATTCTCTGTAAATATAGCTTCATACATACTGATTTTACCGAATTTTTTCCCGGTTTCTAGACATTTATTCTGTTATAATCTGTACATTGTTGCTATATTCAAACTTTCATCAATGTACTGTTTGTTTCATCGACAGTAATATGAAGGTATTGTTTTGAAAGATTTAATATGATTTCTTATATCCTCGTTTATATGAATATGTATGGAATAGAGTTAGAAATAGTCCACAATATTACCTATTTGGGCGTAAACGTTAACGATAAATGGGATAAAAATAAAGAAATATGAATACGCATTGAAAAAGTCAGAGCCGCCTTCTATAAATTAAATAAAATTCTAATTAATAAAGATATTACGTTAAACCATGGACGTATAAACATATATCTACACAGCAATAAGATACCTTTAACACACAACTGTTTTGAAGCTTCGATAGAATGTGATGCTTCCGCAATGAGCATAAGCGTGCTTGAATTTTACTCGCGGGTAATTATTCAGATTTTAAAAATTGAAAGTAGTAATAATGTATAAAAAACACGTTCAAAGAATTTAAAAAAACGAGAGTTTAACTATTAACAAATCACGTCTTTATAGAAAAATTAAAATACAATTTTATTTGCTTTAAAATTAATACAATAAAATATAGTTGAATTCAAGTTAATTTTTAATAGGTATCAAAATAATGCTACAATAAAAAATCTTTATTTTTTCTCCTAAATTTGCTACCAAAATAGTTCCATCGTCAATATTATTTGGAAACCTACATAGAAAAATAAATGAGTTTTATTCATTTCACTAATTTATTTGCATCCATGAGAAATATTGGATTGAAAAGGTACTAAATAGATCTTTTTTAATCAGATGATGTCTATTTACAATTTAAAAATGTCTACTAATTTCATGAACTTATATCTTATTTAATACATTAATGAACATGAATAAACCCAATGGTACGCCTATTAAAATGTAAACAAACACGCTTCCTCATTTCATCATCTTAAATAATGTAGATGAAATGAGAGATCGGGATGTAAATATTTCGTTTATGTTATTTCACTTTTCACAAATATCACTCAAAATACAGCCAAAATATCGAAAAACAACTTTTACTAAAAAGTTAACAAACATGGAACAGCATTTGAAGTTTGACGTAGATCCATAAGACAGAGAAATGTAAACAACCGTTGCCATTTATAAATAGTTTTCAGTGCTTCTGTATATAAAATAATTGATTGATATCTATTATACGCTATTATTAAATGATAATGCACACTATGTGCACACTTTATATTTTGATTACAATTAAATATATTAATCTAACCAATAAATTATTATTTTTATTTGATAGCACCTGTAGAGTATAAAATACGGAGTAATATTTTCAGCGACTCGCGAATAAAAAATTTTAAAACAAAACGTGACAACAGTTGAAGGTGCTGAGAATGTGACCTATTCAAATAATTTTGACTTCACAATTTTATGTAAATAACTGAGTCCATCTGTGTTTATACGTCCATACGTTAAACCCTTAAATCAGATTAATACGCTGCTACATATTCTCCACATTGCTGTATGTTATGGAGAGCTGGACCCTTACAGAGACATTAATGAAAAATTGGAGGCCTTTGAGATGTGTATTTATCGACGAGTATTACGGATAAGTTGGATTGATCGAATAAGAAATGAAATAGTTTTACATTGAATGAAAAAGAGCACAAAAATAACAAAAACGATACAAATTCGAAAGTTACAATATTTCGGTCATGTAATGAGACATCCAGGGAGGTATAACCTTCTACACCTCATAATACAGGGTAAGATCGCCGGAAGGAGAGGCTCAGGCCGAAGAAGAACATCCTGGCTCCGAAATCTCCGAGAATGGGATCTAGAAACTACTAGAACTTCTATCTAAAAATAAGAAGGAGTTATCCTCTTTTTTAGGCATGGTTCTATCTTTGGTCTCTATGAATTCCTCTCAAATATTTTGATAGCACTCCATTATCGTCCTTCTTTTGGGTGGTATTAAAATGAATTTGCTAGAAATATCAAGTATATTCATAAAGACAGTTTTACAAACTTTCACTTTTTTGATCTACTGGCTACTCCTACTAAATAGAATATCTGCCTAACAAATTATTTTGCATCCTTAACTTCAGGTAATAATTGGTGAGTTTGAATTTTGTAAGGCTGAAATTTATTCTTATGCAAAATAATATACAGGGTGTCCCATAATTAGTTTGACATTAGCTATAAATGGGTGATAGCTGATATCAAAATAAAGCGTTTGAGCTCAAATTGTTTAGGCAAAATGTTTCTAGTTTCCGTTCTACAGGGTTAAAATTACTATATTAAAGATTACTATATTAAAGAAATCAAAACATAAATAAAATTCTTATTGTAAAAAAGCGGCAACACTTTATACACTTTTGCCACACGCTAAACTGTCAATAAAATTTGAAGTATTCCCATATCAGTTGCGTTCAATTGTCTAATCTATTTAATTAAAATTATTATTTTGTGGAATATTAGACTTAAGAGTTATTTCATAAATTTTAAATTATTAATAATAACAAATGTTTTTGGTTATTTAATCAATATAATTCTAAAATTTCCAATATAATGATGATTATATTTTTCTGATTATTACACCATGTTGACGCCTATGAAATATCGAGCAGTTCCGTATGAGTTTCGTATTCTTAGCTGTGCTAGGAAAATTTGAACTCTAAGGTTGACGTTCTGGAAATTTTAAATATAAGTGACGCCACTTTATACAAATTGTGACGTGCAAGCATTTTTATATGAAAAATGCTATACTAATACATTTAATATTAACTGGTACTTAAGACTTTTTGAATAATGTTTGAATTTACAAGTTTTTGTAAACTTTTTTCATTTTATGCACGTCTCTAAAAAGTACGTTTATTTTGAAATCGGTATACTTTTTTAATTTGAAACAAGAACACCTTTTTTATGTAGAATTGAATTTTATTTTATGTTTTTTTCCTCGAATGTTTGTACAGGGCGGACAAAAAAATTATGGGCCCATTAATGAACCAATGGTATTGTAGGTGGCGCCACCTACTGTCCATGGTAAAACTAATATTATTTTCATATTAAGCATACCTAATAATAGCAAGATACCAAATTTTACTTAAATCTATTGAATAGTTTTCAATATATCCCTAAAAATAATATAAAAAAATATTAATGAATCACTCTGTAGAACAACAACTAGCAACATATATTGCCTAAGCAATTTGAGTTCAAACGCTTTATTTTGATGTCAGCTATCACCCATTAGCTAATGTCCAATTAATTATTGGACATCCTGTATATGTCATTAATTAGAGACTTGTTCAGACCTTTTGGCAATTACGGTTGTATATAAATTATAATTTAGCTCAATCGTTCCCTCTTACGTACTCTAAAATAGCATTTGTTTAAAATACACGTTGAATAGATTTTTTCGCAATCCTGTATATCTGTCTTAATTTCTATTTATTCCATTTCTATTTTAGGAATAATCGCCCACCGAGGTTATTCGTCACCACTGGATAAATCGTTCCAATTAATAGATACATCACATGACAAAACTTCTATCGCCAAGGTATTTGTGAATCTTGAAGATAACATATTTAAAGTACTACAACCGAAAGCAGAATTAAAATTTCCGTTCTTGTTAGTAAAATGGAAGAAATTAAAAGAAATACTAAGATATATTTCGAATAGACTTAGACCAACAACTGTAACAACTACTAAGGCCACTACTACGACCAAAAAACCGGAGAAGATATTTTTGAGTTTCAAGGAAAATATCTTTGCAGTCTCTCAAACTAAGAGCAAATTGAAATTTCCTTTCTTGTGGGGCAAATGGAAGAAACTAAAAGAAATAATCAAATACATTTCTAATATACTTATACCGACTCGTCCCAGCCCATCAACTACAATTGCAACAACTTCTGTGACTGCAAAAACGACAAAAACTCCAGACATGCCAAATAAAACCTACCAATTCATATATAAATCACATGAAAACACTTCTTTTCTAAAGACATTTTTGGACTTTAAAAAAAATATGTTGGATGTTCTCGAAACAGAAAGCGAATTAAGATATCCGGAATTATCAGAGAAGTGGAAGAAATTATTGGACATAATAATTAAAACTTGCAATACCTTTAAATCAACCCAATCCCCTGTATCAACAATATCTGTAACAGCATCTCCAATCACAAAGGAGATAAAACCCGAAAAATCGACAGATGCCACACCGACACAGAGTCCTAGAACGAGTACACAAACAAATGAAAATAAGAGCACAATACCACCTAATACAACAATAGAATCAACAATAGAGACTACCACATTACGTCACGAAACATCAGAAAGCACAAACCCTACAAAAGTTACCAGATATTCAAGTACTTCCACTACTACCAATCCAGATGGCGATGATTTGAACACGGTACCTGATGAAATAACAGAAAACACGCATTCAACAACAAAATCGACAGAAGTTACCACAAACTCACCTCATAGCTCTACTATGACGCAAACAGTAACACCTGAAGTTGACACGACCACACAAAGTTATAAAACATCAGAACCAATACCAGTAACTTCAAAAGTACCAACAGAATATACAGAAGTTACTACGAACTCACCAAGTACTTCCACTGCTACTGAAACAAGTACAACTGAAGCTGATATCACCACATTACCTAGCAAAACAACAGAAATTGCAACGGGTTCAACAGAATCTACAGAACTCACCACCAACGCACCTAATAGCTCTACTATGATGCAAACAGCAACACATGAAATTGACACGACCACACAAAGTTATCAAACAACAGAAGCAACACCTGTAACTTCAAAAGTACCAACAGAATCTACGGAAGTTACTACAAACTCACCAAGTAGTTCTACTGCTACTGAAACAAGTACAACTGAAGCTGACACCACCACACTATCTAGCAAAACAACAGAATTTGCAACGGGTTCAACAGAATCTACAGAATTTACCACCAACTCACCTACTAACTCTGCTACGACACAAACAGCAACACCTGAAGATGAAACTACCACACAAGGATATAAAACAACAGAACCAACACCAGTTACTTCAAAAGTACCAACAGAATCTACGGAAGTTACTACAAACTCACCAAGTAGATCCACTGCTACTGAAATAAGTACAACTGAAGCTGATACCGAACTTACCACCAACTCACCTAATAGCTCTGCTAGGACACAAACAGTAACACCTGAAGGTGAAACTACCACACAAGGATATGAAACAACAGAACCCACACGAGTAAGTTCAAAAGTGCCAACAGAATCTACAGAAGTTACTGCAAACTCACCAAGTAGTTCCACTGCTACTGAAACAAGTACAACTGAAGCTGACAAGACCACATTACCTAGCAAAACAACAGAAATTGAAACAAGTTCCACAGAATCTACAGAACTTACCACCAACTCACCTAATAGCTCTTCTAGACACAAACAGCAACACCTGAAAATGAAACTACCACACAAAGTTTTAAAACAACAGAACCAACACCAGTTACTTCAAAAGTACCAACCGAATCTACGGAACCTACTACAAACTCACCAAGTAGTTTCACTGCTAGTGAAACAAGTACAACTGAAGTTGACACCACTATATTACCTAGCAAAACAACAAAAATTGCAACGGGTTCAACAGAATCTACAGAACTTACCACCGATTCACCTTATAGCTCTGCTAGGACCCAAAGAGTAACACCTGAAGGTGAAACTACCACACAAACATATAAAACAACAGAGCCAACAACAGTTACTTCAAAAGTACCAACAGAATCTACGGAAGTTACTACAAACTCACCAAATAGTTCTACTGCTACTGAAACAAGTACAACTGAAGCTGACACCACCACACTATCTAGCAAAACAACAGAATTTGCAACGGGTTCAACAAAATCTACAGAATTTACCACCAACTCACCTACTAACTCTGCTACGACACAAACAGCAACACCTGAAGATGAAACTACCACACAAGGATATAAAACAACAGAACCAACACCAGTTACTTCAAAAGTACCAACAGAATCTACGGAACCTACTACAAACTCACCAAGTAGTTCCACTGCTACTGAAACAAGTACAACTGAAGCTGACACCACCACATTACCTAGCAAAACAACAGAAATTGCAACGGGTTCAACAGAATCTACAGAACTTACCACCAACTCACCTACTAACTCTGCTACGACACAAACAGCAACACCTGAAGATGAAACTACCACACAAAGTTATAAAACAACAGAGCCAACAACAGTTACTTCAAAAGTACCAACAGAATCTACGGAACCTACTACAAACTCACCAAGTAGTTCCACTGCTAGTGAAACAAGTACAACTGAAGCTGACACCACTATATTACCTAGCAAAACAACAGAAATTGCAACAGGTTCAACAGAATCTACAGAACTTACCACCAACATACCTACTAACTCTGCTACGACACAAACAGCAACACCTGAAGGTGAAACTACCACACAAGGATATAAAACAACAGAACCAACAGAATCTACAGAAGTTACTTCAAAACTCACCAAGTAGTTCCACTGCTACTGAAACAAGTACAACTGAAGCTGATACCGAACTTACCACCAACTCACCTAATAGCTCTGCTAGGACACAAACAGTAACACCTGAAGGTGAAACTACCACACAAGGATATAAAACAACAGAACCAACACCAGTTACCTCAAAAGTACCAACAGAATCTACGGAAGTTACTACAAACTCACCAAGTAGTTCCACTGCTACTGAAACAAGTACAACTGCAGCTGACACCACCACATTACCTAGCAAAACAACAGAAATTGCAACGGGTTCAACAGAATCTACAGAACTTACCACCAACTCACCTACTAACTCTGCTACGACACAAACAGCAACACCTGAAGGTGAAACTACCACACAAAGTTATAAAACAACAGAGCCCACAACAGTTACTTCAAAAGTACCAACAGAATCTACGGAAGCTACTACAAACCTCACCAAGTAGTTCCACTGCTAGTGAAACAAGTACAACTGAAGCTGACACCACTACATTACCTAACAAAACAACAGAAATTGCAACGGGTTCAACAGAATCTACAGAACTTACCACCAACATCACCTACTAACTCTGCTACGACACAAACAGCAACACCTGAAGGTGAAACTACCACACAAGGTTATAAAACAACAGAACCAACACCAGTTACTTCAAAAGTACCAACAGAATCTACAGAAGTTACTTCAAACTCACCAAGTAGTTCCACTGCTACTGAGACAAGTACAACGGAAGCTGATACCACCCCATTACCCAGTGAAACGACAGAAACCCCAAAGGCTACAACAGAATCTACAGAAGTTACTACAAACTCACCAAGTAGTTCCACTGCTACTAGGGGAAGGACAACTAAAGTTGCGAGTACTACATCGCGTTATACGACAACGGAACCAACTACAGAAACAATTTTTAATACTAACACTTACATAGAGACATCTACAACAGAAGTTTCAACCACTGTTGTTAGTTCTACTACAGAAGCTCCCAATGATTGTGTAAATATAATTATTGAAGGTATAAAGTATTTATTGAAATTTCTATGTAAAATTATTAAGTTTGTTCTAAATCGATTATTTCCACCAGTTACTGTGCTTCCAAATGTTAATTAAATACATTTTTTTAATATAGACAGTCAATTTAGTGTTACGTTAGACGCGAGTTTTTAGGTAGACAAACGTTTTGAGTCTAAACAAAACAAAAATCTTATGATATTCCAATGGTAGTTCGTCTTAAATTCTTTACATGTATTTAGATTTATAGAGATTAATTTATTTGAACTGTCTGTGAAAATTTTGCTAAATGATAGCTGATAGATATCTCGCAAAGATTAAAAACTTTTGAAATACGTTTACATATGAAATCATTCATTGTTATTTCGAATTATTTAATGCTTTGTTGAAATAGGGTTCAAAAGAAATGTATAAAAGCACTTTGTTTAAACTGTTTCAGGAATGAATAACAATAATTCGTTTTTAAGATCCATTTTTTTATAAATGTTAAAAATCAATAAAATTATTTGTCGTTATATATTTTCTTATTGTTTGTCCTTAAAAATAAAGATGTAGCGTTATCTAGAATTAAAGAATACGGAGGAACAGAACAATTAAATTAATAAATGGAGTTAGAAGGTGAAATTTACAAATCTGTTGAATTATTCCTTGGAAAATGTTTTCATGTAACTAAACTGGAAAAAATGAAGTATTACAATCAGTGGACAAAAAATATATTTCAAACAGCAACGAAAATGTATCAGTAATTCAAAAATTGGACGAAACACGTTCAAACCCCCCAAAAAAACATGTTTTTTCAACGTTTTTCAATTTATTCATTTTTTACTGTTTTATTGATCAAAAAGAAGAATCAGCGCAAGATTGAGGCTTTCAAGAGACTTGTCTATTTACTATTTTAGAAACCTTTAGGTTAAGTGTACATAACCCAAAAAAATAATGACTTTAGTCTAAAGGTTCATCCATTGTCTCATTCCATGGTAAAGTATTTATGCAAATTTGCAATAAATTCATCAATATCCAATTTACGTCTAGAAATAATGGTCACTTAAATCTTCTTCTTCTACTTTTTGTAGATCTTTCGATCTGTTTAATTCTGAAGCTGCCCCTGGTTAATTTCTTGGGAGGTAGATTGCCAACTATCCCTCCATCTTTTAGGTGGTCTTCCTGGAGGTCTTGAACCGGGCGGATTGTTTTCTAGGGCAATTTTTGGGAGTCTATTCTCATCCATTCGTCTTACATGGTTGTACCACGTCCTTTTGCGCTGCCTTCCCCATCTTACAATATCTTGAATTTTGCACTGCTCTCTAATGTTTGTATTTCTCACTCTGTCTCTTCTTGTTTTCCCCATTATGTTCTTAGGGTTTTCATTTCGGCAACCCTTAGCATCTGTTTCGTTTTGTTGGTATCTTCGCGCACTTCTATGCCATATGTCATGATCGGTCGTATGCAAGTCTTATAGATTCTAATTTTACTATCTGTGTGCATATACGGATTTGACCAGACTATCTCCCGCAGACATCCTGACAGTGCAGATGCTTTGTTGATTTGACTCCTCAGGTCCTTTACTGGGTCGTCCTCAACTATGGGGTTGTCCTCAACCACTAACTTACATCTGAGCGGATCTTTTGCTATTGTCATACATTTAGTTTTGTTGGTAGAGATGTTCATATTTAGTAGTCGGCTTGTTTGAAAGAACTGAAAGAGCTGCCTTTGGAGATCATCTTCTGATTCGCTATATCGTCTGCATCGTCTGCGTAACACACCATACCAATTCTTTTGTTGCCCATTCTATATCCGAGATTAAGAGATGTTACTTTGTTGATAATTTTGCCCATGAGAAGATTAAACAAGAAGGGGCTTAAACTGTCGCCTTGTCTAATTCCTCCCGGTGTTGGAATCACTTAAATCTACACATTTGAATTACAATATACTGAGTTTAGATCAATAGGACAGAAACTTTCTAACTGTTGTGCTTGAGGGGTAAAATATAATATAAACCGCTTACAAAGATCCTAAATACATTAAGTAAATTATGATCATTGATCAATGATCATTAGAAATGCCGATTGTAATTTAATTATGTTTAATAAAAAGTTTAGAAATGGTTGGAAAACCGTACATAAACAAATTAAAATGTTTCCCACAATTATTTTATTTATAGTACAAGTATTTTCATTTGAAAATAAAAAGTTAAATATATTTACCAAACACCTAACTTTAACCCATAATCGCAGACAAATCAAAAACGGTACACTCTAACGGACATAATGGTCAATCTACCATTCTTCTTATCCCTATCCAATTAGTAGATGCTGGCGACAATTCTGGCATACTCCTTTCGATCTTGTGTGGCTCTAAAGAGTACATGGGCTTCGAGGTTTGTCCAATCTCTTATGTTTTTAAGCCATGAGTATTTCTTTCTTCAAATGCCCCGTTTTCCCTCTATCTTCACTTTCATAATAAGCTTTAAGAAATGATACATGGAATACATGGAATTTCTCGCATTGAAACCGTTGCAAGAGAGTATAGGAGACAAATGGACGAGAAAATGGGGAGCCTGGAGGTGGGAGAAAATGTAGAGAAACTGTGGACAAAATGTAAAAACATAATAACTAAGAAAGCAACAAAAATATTGGGGAAAACCAAACCAGTTAAAGAAAACGAATGGTTTGACAAGGAGTGCCTAGAAGCAACAGATAACAAAAACAGGGCATACCTAAAGACAAATCAAGCGCTGTATGCATAAGAAGGATGCATAAGCTGGATGCATAAGAAGAGCAAAGGAAGAATACCGGACCCTAAGAAGAGAAGAAAAACGATTACATAGAAGAAAAACAAAGACAATTTGAGCAAAAGCAGTTGGAAAGCACAGAATGGCTAAGAAATCAAACTGAAACTCAAAAGTTCTACAGAAATCTAAACAAAATGCGCAAAAAATTTAAGCCAAGGATAAGGAGCTGTAAGGATGTAGAAGCCTCAATCCTAAACAGATGGGTTGAATTTTTCGATGCAAAATTTAATGGCCATCATATCGAAGAAGCAGATAACACCCTAGCAAATCGAAATGATTGGAATTCTTTCAACCCAAACAAAAGACCACCTACCATCTGAAAATGTTGCCCAAGCCATTAAAAAGCTTAAAAATAATAAATCACCAGGAATTGATCAAATATGCAGTGAGCTCTACAAGAATGGTGGCGATACTACAGACACTGCATAAGCTTTTACTTCTTGTTTGGCATAATGAGACCATGCCTTGTGAATGGTCTCAAGGCGTGATATACACGTTACATAAAGAAGGTAACCGGCTCCAGTGTGACAACTATAGAGGTAGAACCTTGTTAACAACTGCATACAAAATACTAGCAAATATTCTCTACGAAAGGCTGCAAGTTTACACAGTGGGCATAGTTGGTAAATATCAAGCTGGATTCACTCCAGAAAAATCAACAATTGACATTCAATAAGACAGATTCTCGAGAAAACATTAGAATTCAATATTGAAACCCATCACCTATTCGTCGACTTCAAGACCGCATACGACAGTGTCAAGAGAACAGTGCTATACCAATCAATGCATGAGTTTGGTATACCAGAGAAACTTATCCGATTAACGAGAATGACAATGTCTAACTTAGAAGCCACTGTTAGAATACAGGAGGGAATTCTAGATCCTTTAAGATAAAGGATGGACTCAGACAAGGGGATGCTCTGGCTTGCCTCCTATTTAATATTGCCTTAGAAAAGGCAGTCCTAGATACACGAATTAGGGATGGCGGTACTATTTACAATAGATCGATACAAGTCTTAGCATATGCTGATGACATTGACATAATAGGGCGTAGCAAGCGAGATGTTGAGCAATATCTCCTAGAATTGGAAACAGCGGCGAAACAGGTCGGTCTAGTCATCAACGAAGACAAAACCAAGTACATGTTGGTTACAAAGGATCCGATAGCAAATGAGGAACGAGAAACAGTCTTTGGAAGTCATACCTTTGGACGTGTTGACAACTTCACTTACCTTGGGTCGCTATTGACTGCTACCAATAAAACAAGCGAAGAAATCAAAAGACGAATAAATCTTACAAATAGGGCATACTATGGACTCAAAAAGCATTTCCACTCAAGAAACATTAAAAGAAGAACTAAAATTATTATATACAAAACATTGCTGAGGCCGGTCCTCACATATGGAGCAGAAACATGGACTCTAACGCAGAAAGATGAAAGACTTTTGGGAATATTTGAACGTAAAATACTCCGCAAAATATTTGGAGCTATAAACGACCAAGGGCAGTGGCGCAGAAGATATAATTTTGAATTGTATCAGCTCTTTGATGAGCCAGATGTCATAATGTTTATTAAAACACAGCGACATAGATGGGCTGGACACATAATACGAATGCCAGAAAATACGATTACTAAAAAACTAACCACA